TTTTTCCCAATGTTTTTTGTCAAAATGTTACCTTACGCTAAAAGGTCGCAGAACAATAGCTAAACAGTAGTTATAGGGTAAAACTTCCTAAATGATACACCATTACCACCATTAATTAAATATAAACAGTCGGTAATTGTTGCGCTAATAAGTGACACCTGTGACTGTGTCTGTGCTAGCCACTACTAGAACATCAAGGTCAACTGCTAAGGTTGAGCCTCCAATCAGCAAAAAATGATGGAGCGGGTAAAGGAAAGTGTCAAAATGAAAAGTGTCCGACCAAGGTGAACTGTTTTGTATCGACACACACTCACGCCTATTGATAAATGTGGTAGCGGCAGTGTGATCAGAAGCACTGTTTGCCAAATTAAAAGTGAGAACTGCAATTTGAGTATGCTCAAAAGAAGCAATTAAGCGATGAGAGAGCATCGGGGTGATTGTGGTGGAGGTGGTGGGGCAATGTAAAGTGAAAGTGGAAGGNATTAAGCGATGAGAGAGCATCGGGGTGATTGTGGTGGAGGTGGTGGGGCACTGTAAAGTGAAAGTGGAAGGAAGAAAAAAGAAAAGAAAGGAGAGCTAACGTTTTGTTTAGAGCTTCAGCTTTAGCTGCAGCAGCAGTAGCCGTTGCAGCAGCAGACGAAACTGCATCTTGGCCTTGCAATGACACGTTTCAATTTAAAACTCTCATTCGCGGACGTACGTTAATTGAGTAGTAGTCAGTGGTGGCAGAAGAAGCAGGAGCAGCACTGTGTGTAACCTTTGTGCACACCTTATCACCATCATCATCGTCGTCATCGTCGGCGAGAGCGGGGCCTCGTCAGCTGATGCTACTCCTTTGGCCGCCGTAATTATTCAACTCGCCGACCGGGCACCACTCTTTATGTCTGCTCTTCTCTTATGCTGCTGCTGCTGCTGCTGCAACACAGCAGTTTGAAAACACTAGCAAAGTTTTAAGCTTCAAAACATTTATTTAGCCCTTCTCAGCTGTCGATTTCCAGTCATAAGTCGCCCACTACTTCGACAGTCCACATCGGCGGCCGCGGCGGCGACTCATTGACGCTTCTGTATTCAATCACTTTTAGTGTTACCACCGACTTTTGGACTTCTTGAACTCTTTTCTGTGAAAGTTTTAGTGTGTGTGCTGTGCCATTGTGTGTTGGGTGCCCTTTGAAAGAACGAAATGGACGTCAACAACAATGAAAATGGTAGCCAATCGACGACGACGACGACAACGACAACCAGTCCGAAGGAATATGAACAGGTGACCCGAGTGAGGGCGCAGTTTCTGGAGAAGGTCGCCAAGGAGCCGGCCCTCTTCTACCCAGAAGACATCAATCTAGTCAAAACAAACGAGTGGTGGACGCTTCGCTTCATCAAGTGGAACCGTGGCAATGAGGACAAGGCGCTGAAGCAGATGGTCAGCGCCTTCAAGTGGCGCAAGTCCTTTGGGCTGCACGACCGAAACGTCAATGACATACCGAATGAGTTCGCCAAGGCGGCGGCCATCTTTCCCTACGGCTACGACCACAAGGGCCGGCCGATCATCTACCTGCGCATCAAGGTCTACCGAAAGATCAACCAGCTGGTGCTCTTTTTTCAGCAGTTTGTCGCCGGCATAGTCAACCACATTGACGGAGAGGGTGGCCGCCAGGGCTTCGTCATCGTCTGGGACGTCACCGGCCTCGGACTGATCAACTTCGATGCGGACTTTCTGCAGTATCTCGTCTCGCTGCTACAGAACTACTACCCTTATGGACTGCGATATTCCATCGTCTACAACATGCCCAAAGTGCTGCGGCCGCTGTGGTCGATGACCAAGTTCTTTCTGGGCAGCACCGTCAACACCTTCACCTTCTGCAACTCGGTGGAGGAGCTGGAGAAGTACATTCCCAGTAAATGGCTGCTGCGGTACATGGGCGGACAGTCGGATTTTGACTTTACCGATTTTGAAGAGGTGCGAGGGGCGCCGTCAGTGTACGAAGTGGCCGCCAAGTACAACTTCACCGAGGCCGACTGCATCAAGTACCTGAAGATTTTTGAGGAAAACATCAAAGAAGCGCGTACACTCCTCTCCCCTTCTGCTGCATCATGACTACCAGCAGCTAAACCATTATCCACGCAGTAATCTGTGGTGAAAATGTGCTAATATCACCACTATCACCACCACCACCACTTTTTGTGCACTTTTTTTGTATCCTTCATAATAGATGTGATTAATTAGAAGTAATTTCTCTCCTTATCGACTATTTGTGTGTGTTAGTGTGTTTGTTCAAGTGTGCTGGTGGTGGTGGTGGTGGTGTCCTTAAGTAGTTTTCAAAATCATAGTTTTTACAAAGAAGCTAGAAAACGTCTATTAATTTTAGCGCATAGCGTATTAATTGGCATCCTCTGTCGCAGTCGTTGTCTTTGTCAAGTATAGCGGTTACAAATGGCAGCGAGATCGTTAGCAGAAGAAGACATAACGGTAAATCGATGAACACTTCAGCGATCACAATAAGACCGTTCCAATAAGGTAGTCGAGGGGATTACAAAAGTGCTATTACAGGAGGCAAAACCTCCTGGAGGCAGCAGTTTGCAGCAACAAAAAGGCGTACAAAGTTGCCACACAGCTGCTTACAAAAAGACACTTGGACGCACACACACGACAACTAAAGACATGCATGCTCACTTCTTCTGTCATTATTATCTTCACCGAAGCCATTGTGGTGCAACAATAACCACTAAATACAGTTTTCAATAAATAAAAAGGTTGATAGTTTTGGATATTTCACTTACCTTTTTCCTGCTACCATGTTTAGTAGGAGCATCTCAGGTATTTTAAGTAAGTGTCCACACACACACTGATAGATTGCAACACCCGTCTGCAAATAGAGCATCACCATCTTGTCTGTAAAGCTGTTGACAGCAACTTGACAGCAAATTCGAGATGGCCTGTCAGCAGTGCACACAACAGCAGTTTCAGTGAGAGTTGGCTTCTTCTTGACAGTGCACTGTTGTACTAATCGTCTCAGGTTGAGAGGAGATCAATGGCAGTTGGGGACGAAGACGAAAGATGCGTGAAGTTGGCAAATAAGGTGAGTGATTCAAGATGAAAAATAGCAACCTTGAGGCGTTTCTGAGTTCGCTTCTGGGACATCGTGAAAGAAGGCTCATACTTTGTTTTGCGTTTGACAACGTTTCAAGTTTCAAGTGCACCAAAACGTGATTGTTTTGCGGGCAGAGATAGTCTGTTTGTTTACTGTTTGTTCTTCTCAAACGACACATCAGAACATCAGAACATCAGAAGCAACCAGCTGATGACAGTGACTGGACAATGTACTTTGTAACTTTGACGAGTCGCTCTTGCAATGACAATTTTTTGCTGTAAGTTGTTTCATTTTAGTGACTGCCATGAAAGGTTATTGACAACACTACAACCCGCAGAAGCGGCAACAGTTTAGAGACAAGCGCGCGTCTTAACGATGTCCTCTCTTCTTGTCGTTAGCTGCCTTGATTTACCACATTTATGCAATGATGCAATGCACAAGGAAACGGGCATTAATGCAATGTTGTCATCATTTATTGTTACGCTCAAAAAATGTAGTAAGTAAGTATATTACACAGCTGCATTTGTGTTTGTGTCCTGTAATGCTACCCAGAAGTGGAGAAAAAAAGTTATTAAATGTGATGTTGTAATCATTATGATGAGGAAAGAAGGAAGGAGGATCACACATTGACCAGTGATTTTCTGCTGACGCGAGCTCTGCTCGGGTCCTGCTGCAGAACGGCGAACATTCGCTCGAGGTCGGCGGCGTGTTTGCCGGCAATGTTTGCCCGCTTGAGCTTCATCGCCGCCGTCAGCATGTCATTCATCGGCGTCCACTCCTCGTGGCAGAGGGTGACCAGCGAGGGAAGCTCAATCGGCTTGAGATGCTGCTCAAAGCCGGTGGCGAGGATGGAGCTGTGCACCCGTTCAACCAGTTCGGGATTGGCGCAAATCTCCGCCAGACTAGTGGTGGTAGTGCCCAAATGCCTGGCCAGTTGAAGCAGTGCCCGCTGGTTGGGCATGACCAGAGCGACCAGACTGTTGAGCAGGGCATTTGGGACGATGCAGATGTTGTCCACGTACATGCTGCTTTTCAGTGCCGCTTCAATCTAATTAACGACGAGAGATGATTAGAAAAGGTGACAAGAGAAAAAGTTGCTCTATCACAGCGCCAGTTACAAACCTTGCCGAGTGAAATAAATTCACCATTGAGCAGCTTGTGAAGATCCTTTTTCCTATCTGCAGTGTACAAATGATATCAGTTAAATCAGTGTGCGGTGTGATTTATGTCATTCAAATGAAGAGCAATGATGCACGTGCTGATTGTTATGACTAATAACATCCATCCATCTATGAACATACCGATTATCTTAATAGTTCCGTCCGGAAACATCTCTCCAATGTCGCCGGTGACAAAAAAGTGGAAGCCATCCTCATCAAAGAAGTTTTCCCTCGTCTGCTCCTCCAGTTGATAATACCCCTGAGAGATCATCTTCCCACCAACCAGCAGCTCTCCCCTTGGATTAGGCTTATCCAGTATGGAGTAGCCGCCTTCATGCCAGTCAGCCAGACGCACTCGAACGCCATTCAACGGAGCACCGACTCGTCCGTAGGTGAGATCGTTAAAGTCCATACAGCAGCAACCTCCCGTAGTCTCTGTGGTGCCGTACCCCTGAATGAGGGTAATCTCTAGCGAATTTCGAATCAGCGTTTGCAGCTTTGGTGCGAGGGGCGCTCCACCGACGACTAAAAACTGAAGGCGATTGCCGAATTGCTCGCGGATTTTGCCGCACAGCAGCTGATTGACGATTGGCGTCTGGTAGCCTAAAAAGAAAAAGGATTTGTGCATTAGAAAACAGGATTGTTTTTTTGACTTCAAAATCTTTTTACCCTTCTGAATCCAGTAGGACTTGTAGTCAATCAGGTAGTTGAAGATGTCCGTGGAGAAGGGCGTCCTCTGCGACAACTTCAGGTAGATCTCCTTCTGCATTCGATCGAGCACCAGCGGCACTGCCGTCATCACCGTCGGTTTGAGCAGCTGCAAGTCGCAGACCTGGCCTTCGAGCAGCCCCGGCGCCGACTCATTCAGAGTGAAAGGCGTGGCGTAGCCGATCTTGACGCCGCCAATGAAGAGGAACATCTCAATGGACAGCTCAAGAATGTGCGCCTGTGGGAGGTAGGCGATGTAGATGTGTTTTGGGCCCTCGGGAATGATGTCACGCACCACCTGGCCGCAGGCCATGGCAGACTCTTTGATCTGCGCACCGGTCGCCACGACGCCTTTCTGCAAAAAGTTGGACATTGGTTAGGATATAAAAAAATTAGAATCATTCTGACACTTACCGGCACTCCTGTCGTACCCGATGTGTACATGATTAATTGGATTGCTTTTGGCGGAAGGGGGCACGCCTTCATGTCGCGGTACGGCTCAGAATGGCCAAGGCAGAGCAGCTGCGAGAAGGTCCACACTTTAATGTGCTCCGGCAAGTTGATGTTCTTCTGCTTTTTCGGACCTGCAAAAAATAAAAATGAAGTTTTTTAAATACAAAACATGTGTTGCACTTCAGTTACCTTCATAGTATATGACATGCTCCACCTTCGGACAGTGTTGAACAAAGCTGGCAATTCGATCCAGCAACTCAAAACTGGTGACGATAAACTTGGCATTGGTCTCATTGACGCCGTGCACCAGGCCGTCATCGTTCAGAGTGTGAAAAAGCGTCACGACAACACCGCCATAAAGGTTCGCTCCGAGCAATGCGCTGAAGAAGTGAATGCCCGTCTCGCAGAAGATGGTCACCCGGTCGTCGACCTGCATGCCAATGGCGGCCAGGCCGCGGCCAAAGGATATCACCTGGTCCTGGACTTCACCCAGCGTCAACCACTTGTAGTCGCTGAGGCGGTACTTCCGAAGCACCTTTCCATCGACGCAAATGGGCTGACCAGTGGCGGCGTCGTATTGAACCTCCTCGTCGATGATCTGTCGATAGCCATGCGACGGCTGGTCATGTGGGTATAGCTTTCCTACCACGACAAAAGCTTCTGAAAGTGTCAGACAGTCCATCAACGGGTGGTAGGGTATTTCGGCGAATCTCTGGTTTTGATTAAACAAAAGTTATAGTTAGGGGGCATTTGTCATGTGAAGTAGTTTTAAAAGAAAAAAAGTAATTTCTCGTTACCTCATACTCGAGAAAGTTGACGCCAACTTTATCAATGGGAGCACTGTCTGACAGGCGGCCTTTGTTGACCAGATGGGCGCCGCAACTCTTTGCCCGTTTCAACCTTCGCCAGGGCATTTGAATGAGGTAGTACAGCGGCAGGGTAATGATGGTGTAGACGGTGACGACGATGCGAACCAGCCACACCACCAGCGGCACCAGGACAGTCTTCATCGTGGCAGTCATCAGTGGCTCGGCAGTCCAACTAAATGAACTGCCTCCGAACTGTCGCGTTTAGAAAGAGGGCTGCAAACTCCCACAACGTTCGAACGAGGCAACTTCCTCTCTGATGTAATCGTCAGTGAAAAATTGCTGCTGATGATGGACACGCTGCACAGTGCTACTGGATTGGAAATAAGCGTATATGGGGGACAGCTAAGCTGGACGGATGCACCACTTCTTTTTCTTCTTCTTTGAGAGCAATCACTCACCCAAGCACAAGTGACTTAGCAGGGCGATCAAAAATAAAAAGAGAGTTTGACGCGAAACAAGAGTGGATCATTTTTAAAAAAGTCGACAACGTAATGATGACTATGGCGGAAAGGAAGGGAAGAGAGAAATGAAAGTGGAAAGAGAAAGGGAGATCGCCGAGGAAGAAGAGAGCAAGAGAAAGTCAAAGAAGTAGGAAGCAAAATCGAAGAGGAGCCAGCCTCAACAGGCAAGTGGCCACCGCGGCCGCCACTGGACGACGATGAGCAGACGATGCAGTTGAAGGAAGCAGTACGGCACACTGTGTGAACAACTGACAAGTGCCGGACAGGACACTGGCAAGACTGAAGACTGGAGAGTGGACACACGGGGGCTTTATCGAGGCTAATCGGAGGAGGCCGGACAACAAGTGACTGTGCTGTGTGCATTCATGTGCTTCACAGATGCAGGCACACTGCACCAAACTGCTGTATGACACTGGAGCACAAACCATCACAGAAGAATAGAACGGGGCAAAGGTTTGAGTAGTCCAGGAGGAAAAGGCAAAAGTAAAGGCTTATATTGATGATGTCTTTTTCTCTGCCTCTCTTTGGTGGCTGCAGGCGATGCTTGGAAGATAAATAAGTATATGCTGCTGCTGCTACTGCTTCAGCAGCCAAGTCCACGACAATGGCGGCGGCGGAGTTCGAGGATTCCCGGTTAAAAGAGTGAAAGAGAGAGTGGTTTAACGCCTCGCTAATGTCAATATGTACTTTAGTTTTTGGTGAGACCATCGATCACAGAGTTGCTCGTCTCTTGCAGTAGTAGTTGTGTGCCAGTAGTAGTAGACCTCAGGTGGTGAGACACCAGTGTGTGGAGTGGCCGGACTGACTGTCAGACTGGCCAATAATGCTGTCATGCTTGCTGCTGTGCCTCACTTGCCGACACTGATTTCGCATGTGATGCACTTAGGGAAAAAGTCCCAGTTAACTGCGTGAACAAATGGGCGAAATGGAAATTGAAGAAGAAAAAGAAGAAGAAAAAGTAGTAAGTACTCTTTGGAAATTGTTGTTGACTTTTCAAGCAAGAAGCAGCAGCAGCAGTCCAGGATTGCAAGGCTACTCTCTCTCGTTCTCGCCACCACCAACCTCGATGACTTGCAAAAGTGACCAGTTTAGAGGTGAAATTATTTGATCAAATTAAACTGTTGGCAAATGGACAGCTGGAGGCGTGGTGGTGGCGGTGGTGGAGGACAACCAAAGTGAACAGTCTTCTCCTTCTTTACTTTGAACAGAAGTTGCCACTTTTCACTTCAACTTGAGATGAGTCCACCCACGATGTGTCAGCTACTGCTCTTCTCTNTTACCGGCGATTGGAACAACAGTGGACTGCTGCCTGCCACACACAGTTTGGTGTTGATTGGTTCAAGCTGTGCACAACGGTGGCAGTGTGTTCAATTCGACCTACTCACACCTGACAACTTTNTTGCTTCTGTTGCCATGCCGTTTGTATCGATCACTTGAAATTGTCACTAGACGGTGAAGTAGTTGTCAGTTACCGGCGACTGGAACAACAATGGACAGCTGCCTGCCACACACAGTTTGGTGTTGATTGGTTCAAGCTGTGCACAGCGGCGGCAGTGTGTTCAATTCGACCTACTCACACCTAACGTCTTGGCACCTTACCCGAAACATCAGTCAACTTCAGTTGTTTACTGTTTTGTTCTGCTCACAAAAGCGAAGAGCTTTACACTTAATGCACAAATTAATTAATGCACAAATCAACGACAATTTAGGGAATATCTTCGCGCTGAATGGTGATAAAAAGCAATTGCAATAATTGGAATAATTGCGCCGTTGACTAAATGACGAAGAAAACAATAATCAACTGTAGAAGAGAGCAGAAGAAGGAAGTCTGATGTCAAGTTTAGTACAAAGAAAATCTGTAGGGAATTTTCAGTTTATCCATAATAGGCGAACACAAACTTGGTGGTACTTTCGATAACAACAAAGCGATTTCACTTTCCTCAAAAACAGTGAAGCATGAGCATGATCAATTGAGGTGCCAAAAAAGAGATGAAATCTCGAACACACTCACTCACACACACTACTGCACCAGTTGATGCAGTAGTTTTAGGTCATCAGAACGATAAGACGACCGGTTTCTCCGTCTGTCTGTCTGTCTGTCTGTCTGGACACTGGTCACACTAACATGCACTCAGTGGTTGTACCTGTCCTCATTATTTTGCCAGATCTATTTTTGACCATTTTGCTGCACACCAATGCACCAATCAGTCGGTAAAGGCCGCAACCGAAGTTGTCAAGTGCATCTTCTAAATTTGTTCAAACTCAAACGCAGACAAAGGATAAAAATTTGCACTTAAACTGCAACGACGATTTGTCACTGGGCAGTGTGTCACCCCAAACAAAGAGGAAATCTTCTTCTTCTCAAAGGACAAAGTACTAAGGTCTTTCCTTGAAGACACTGGTAGTAATCGTATTCATTTCACAATCGACATCCTCTGTGTTTATTTTTTTTGCTAAACACTCTAAGAGCTCCATTCTTCAGGATAAATAGATATGCACTATTGTACACTTTTTTCCTTAACACATATTTGAATTTTCCGTTCTCAATGACACTGAAAGGGAAATCTGTGTGAAAGTAATTGTTGTTGCTCTACGCACATCATAGTCACTCTTCAAGTCAGACAAACAAACAAACCACAGCAAAAATTACCGCAAGCTTAAGCATCCCATGTGGAGATGCGCTTTCATTTCGTGTTGTTTGCTTTTGTTGAGTAAAACAGCACAAGAAGGTGCGCTGTTTACTCGGAAATGTTTAGCTTTTTCCAGCAAAAATGATGTTAGTTTTGTAGCTAACCACTACAGTTTATGTTTGTGCGACACTGAAATTAAACAAACTGTGAGATTAGGCAAAACAAATTAAATGAGCAAAATATTGATGGCATTCATTTGCAGTAAAACTGCAAACAATCAACTGGTAAAGTAAAAAAAACTTTTAAAAGATTAATGAAATTACCCGTTAGATGAGAAAGGTACTAATTCAGTTCAATTCAAAGGCAGTTTAATTAGTACATCTCATTCAGAATGTCATGCACTGAATCGCCCTCCATTACAAGTCTACTGGCGTCGACCATTTCGCTGCCGTTCTGCTGTGGAAGAGTTCGTTTGTCGCTTGATCGATCATCATCCTTGAACAGGTCAAGTGCTATACGTATCATGGAGAGCAGCTTTTCGATACGGTCGCCCTTGAAGCCTTCTGAAGTGAGATCAATGCAGTTCAACTCTTCGATAATGTCATTCCGCTGAGTTAGCAGCCGCTCAGTCCGAATACTGCTTGAGTTGAATGATTTATTTTTTTCTTCCAGTTTCATTCTTTTTATTGCGATTCTGAAATTGTATTTAAAGTTATGTTTATTCAAGTAAACAAAAATATCACTTTGCTTTGCAGCATACCTTTTCTTGGCCATTTGATGGGTACTTCGAGGAATAGAATCGACATTGTGGCCAATGTGCGTCGCTACGTACGTAACCTCCACTTTGCCATCCCTATCTGTGACAGCCTTGATGTGTGCAGGGCATTCGGCGCCCATTATGCTTTTGTCACAAATTTTCCTTGGCCTTTTCCCCGTCGGCCGGGTCTTTTCTCCTGATCGAGAACACCTATAACTTCGCAACAGTAAACCATTTTTGTATCTGTTGCAACCTCGCTTAAGAATGAACTGTGATGTGGTGCTTTCCTCCATCTGTTGTTTCCACTGGTCGAAATGAGCAGCATCACCAAAGGTATAGTTCTTGACATCCAATAAGCAGTTGTGATCGGTTACAAGGTGTTCTTCATAATCTTTTCTCGTACGAAACATTTCATTACACCCATTTTGCAGCATGTAGGCGCATTTGATGTTCTTTTTTTGTTCTTTATGTGTCGAAGTGTAGTGGTAGTTGAGGAACTTTTTTGACTCGTAAGTTATGTGACATATTTTGCATGTAAGTTCAGGGTCCGGAACTGAAGGAACTACTTTTCGCTCATTGATTGAAATCATATTGGAAGAAAGAGGTGCCTCTTGAGTAGGAACTTTGATGGAGACATTGTCTATTATATGAACCATTGCCCCGTTAATTTGCTGCGGTAAAGTAATTTGTGTCATGTGTAGATTTGTGTTTAGATGATCAACCATCTGATTGGGAGATTCATTGGTGGTGCACTCCATCATTTGAGCGTGATTCAGTTGACTGATTGAAGGAAGATTCATCTGGTTAACTGAAGAATGACTTAGCTGATCGGTGATGATATGTGCCTCCATTTGCGGGTCCAAATGATGCATCTGCTGAAGAATTTGAACGTTTTGATTGTTCGAATCCATGATTGGCGTGATTAAGTAATGACAACCCGAGTGAATTATTTTACTTGCTGCAACTTCTCCAGCAAATTTGATCGCCTATAAAAGTTAAACTTAAGCAGTTAGTAAGATAAGAATTGGTTTTTAAAGACCTTTAAAGTTACTTGTTTCAGAATATCGTTTCAAAAGTTTTGCTTTTGGAAAACACAAAGAACGCGACAAAAATTGTAAACAAAGCTCAAGCGCCATTCGCAGATGTGGTTCTCTGTTTTTTTTTGCCAGCTGCTGTTGATTACCTTTGGTTTGGCGTTTCTGGATATCCTGAATCAACCGATCACGATGGGCGTCTATAACTTTCACATCTTTGACAGCGCCGGAAACTGCCTCTTTTCACTGAACCGATCCGACCGGATAGACCAACAGAAGATACTCTACGGTTTTCTGTACTCACTCAAGTCCTTTACGGCGCGCATGAGTCCGGTGCTGGCGAAAGACAACAGCTTCTTTCTCTTCTCCACCTCCGGATACCATTTAGTGTTCTGTGAGTTTCCCACCTCCATCAAGTTTGTGCTCATTCTCACTGCTGACATGCGAAACGATTCGGATTTTTACCGCGAGCTCCTCGGCCAGCTGTACCGAGAGATCTACGTGCAATACATTGTAAAGAACCCATTGATTGCGCCGTCAGTTGGAGCAGTGAACACCGGCGCCAACCTTTCAGCGGAAAAACACAACACCTTCGACTGTGAACTGTTCCGAAATCATCTGCATATATTCCTAACTCAAAATAGTCTTCTCTAGCATTCCTGTTAGTAACTTAAAGCGATTCTTTAAATTCCACTATTTGAAATTTTGTGCTTATTTATTTTTTATTTATAAAATTGATTATTGCAACGGGATTTTAATTTGAACAACTTTCGTAGAAATTATACAGCACTCTGATCATCGTCAATGACTTTTTTCCTTTTTCTTCACTTGCACCAACAGGTATGACGACTCATTAGGGATGCTTTAGAAGTTGAAAACAGTGATTATATTTGCCAAGACAACTCAATTTCTGCTGCCTGTGGGCTGTCATCAGGACACTGCTGCGATTGGAAACAAAACACCATTAAACGATTGTTTCAACGCTTTAGCAACTACGCTTGTTACATTCTGGAAAACAAAAAAGTACAAAACTCTACCAATTTAATGTGTTTTGAAACTTTTTGTTTATTTTATTTTATTTAGAGAACTAAAGATGCACATTGGAAGAAATACGAGTAGCATCAACAGCAAATCCTCTTAATATAAAGTAGCCACTCTGTTACTCTAAAACAGCGACAGTATTGCAAGCACTTTTTCATTGAAGGCAGCACTCTAAAAATAGTACAACTTGATAAGCAACTTTTTTCTCTGCACCTGAAAGGTGAGCTGCTGAAAAGTTCGTCCGCTTCCTCAGACGAAGCTCAGTACAGTGAAGTGAAGAAGGTGCACTGGAGGTGCAAATGCACTTAGTACGACCGTCTTCAATAGTGGACAGCAGCGTACCGCACCCGGGTACAGTGCACTCACTGTGCAGTGACCGCATTCACGCACTAAGCTGTACCTTTATTGAAGTCTTGTTTTTTCCAGCAAATGTGGATTTTCACTGCGAGCAATCGGCCAGTTGGTTTGCAGCAGTTATACCACCTCTGAGAGTCTACCTTGGATTATGGCAGAATAAATATGCCCATCAACACTTTAAGCCGCCCGTAATTGGCCAACACCTTCATCTAGTGTTGAAATCTCTAAATGCAAATGACACACACTGTCTTCACTGGCTTTCATTAGCCTTTAGGCACTAGCAAGTTTGTGTGTTTGTGGTTTGCACGTCAATTAGTCGGAGGGTCAATTGGCGACTGAATTCTGAAGAGCTGTTCCCTCTTTTCTCTTCCTGCTTTCCTGTGCAAGTGCTGCTTTGCTCTTCATATCTGCTGTGAATGTGAGCATGATAGTACTACTGACCAAACGAGACCGGTCTAACCCATTGCGAATTTGATTATGGTGGTGATGATGGTGATGATGCTATTACCAGCGATACCAGGTGCTATTGCAGTCATCGCCGCGAAAAATCCCAACGGCTGTGCAGTTTTTGTAGTAAAACAAAAAATGCAAAAATTTGCCCGCAAAGGTAGCGCCTGTGCTGTGCATCCATCCCTCTATTCCCACTACTCCTCCACGCCCATTGCCTTGATGGTGGTGGTGGTGGTGGTACTGATCACCGATCAGCCCGTGATCACCCCCACTTTCTCTCTTTCTTTCACACACACACTTGCTACTTAGTTGATGGCGGCTAATTTGCCTGCCGCAGACAATAGCTGCTACCTGTGTGTTGTACGCTGTGGGGGAGGGCAACACAGAGTGTTGGGAGTCCTTCTCCAAGTTGGAGAGACACTGAGAGTCAGTCTGAGACAGTGCATCAGCAACGGCATCAGCAACAGTAGTACTGCTGATGTGTAGTGCGTCAGAGAAAGAAAAAGAAGAAAAAGAAATTGTGCCTGCAATTGAGAATGTGGTGAGTGTGGGGAAATGCACAGTGCCAGTGGCAACAACAACTGTCGGCGACAGTCGCTCAATCAGGTATAGCGAGGGAGCGCATCTCCTTTCCCATCTTCTGTTTTTTCATCAGCTTCTTCATCTTCCTCGTTTTCGTCTTCTTTTTGGATGCGTCACTCTTGCACTACCGCTGTCTTTGCTGTCTGTCTGAGCACAGTGTACCAAGTTGGCGCCATTCGCTCTCTGTAGCTGCTGTTCTCACCTGTAGCTGACTGTGATTCTTTCCAATTGATCCCTTCCAAATGGTCTCTCACATACAGTAGCTGAAGAACACAGCTGAGAACGACGACGATTATAAAGACAGTGCTCTGTCGGGTGGACCAGTGACAGGCAAACCACCGAGGCACACACACACACACACAACCACATGCAAACACAGTAGCTGAATGCATCAAATCAACGCGTGCCTGGGCGAATTCACTGTCACTGTCTCTTTCTCACTTTGTTTGTTTGTTTGTCACCGCTTCGAGCGTGATTGACTACCATCAGCCATTACCACCATCGTCACCATCATCACGATCAGCAGCATCGGCAGTCCTGCAAGGATTCAGTGAGGATCCACTGGTTCGATCGTGCATTGCGCTTTATCTACAGCAGCAGCAGCAGCAACAACAGCAACATAACTTACATTAGCACGGTCATCGATGCACAACTAAAGCAATTAAGAAAACTGATTTGACTGGAGTTATCTGGAATTATTTAACAACCATTGTAAGATGTGTTCAACAGCGTCACCATCATCAGTAGTAGTAGAATAGGGGAACCAGAAGAAGAAGTCGATTCATCGCATTTTCGAACGCTCATTCACTGTTCAGTCAGTCACTTTTCCCCTCTTTCAGCCCGAGCCAGTACTGAGTGAGTGAGTGAGTGAAAGCAGTTCGCCAGAGAAGACAATTGATCATAATAATAATAGGCAGCAATTGCCGTCACACACAGCCACCACCACCATCATCTTTCCAGTCTGACACAATCGACTCATTATAACCAGCTTCGATTGGTGGCAGTGCCATTTGTTCATTTGCCTCTCTTCTCTGCAGTCAACTTCACTTCAAAGGACAAAAGACGGACGATTTCTATTTTGCGACATTCTTTGCACTTTTCGTACAGCAGTATTCTCTTAGTTATTTTTACTACCATTACCCAAGATCGTACTTACTTTAACCCTGCTGAAACGACACTGACAAGCACAACAGTTTGCTATTCGACAGTCTTTTTTCATCAACCACTTTAGCCTTAAAAACAGTGCATTACCTCATCTTGATTGAAAGCACAATCACCACAACTACTACTAAACACAATGACTAAAGAACTATCTGACCACCAGAAAAAGTCCAGCCTGAAGCGGTCGTTGAATCGTTTCTCGCAGAACATCAAAGAAGTCTCCACACACACTTCACACGCAGTCAGGTATTGGCACATGGTCGCCATTGCCGTTCTTTTTGCCGTCCTTCTCTGGTCCAGTAAGTTCTTAAAATGAGCCTTTATTTTTATGACAGCCTTTAAAATGTTCTCACATTTTGTTCATTGTCTTTCTTTTTTCCTGTTTCACAGTGATCTTTCTAGTTCGCATTGAGGCGCACAAGTGTCACATTGACCAGGAAGAGCTGGACAACTGCGCCAAGGGTATCACCTTTTTCTCCACCGAGAGGCGCCATTTTCCGGCGACGAATCCACAACTGGACGAATACTGCAAGGAGAAGACAGCCAGCATTCAGTGTCTGAAGAAGTACGCGCTAACCTGTCTGAAAATTGACAAGGTGCAGAAGCGGTACGTTAAAAAGTTTGTTTCCAATTACCGCAAACAGCTGGACCACGTTTGCCTGCGCCGATCTGAACGTGAAAGTAAGTGTTGTTTCTTGTAACTGACAGGAAATGCTCATTTTGTTCATTTCAAACTTTTTTTCAGAATTCATGAGCTACTCAAAGTGCCTCTCTGACGAGAACCTAATCCGAAACGCCACCCGGTGCACTGAATCTCACCGGAAACGCCTCCTCTACATTGCCCAGTACGTCTCCGATGACCTTCGCATAGCGGCCGCCTGCTGTTCACTGCACCTGCGGCACTCCTGCTTCAACTCGGTCATGTCCACGGAGAAGTGCGACCGCCAGGTGCAGCGCTTTGTCCTCGACCAAACCGAAGGCCCCTATCGCAGTCTGATCTCCAATGTCTGCTCTCCTTACTATATGTCAGGTAAAACTTTTTTTGTGTTTCACTGAAAAACACAAAAAGAATGCTTTTTCAATTGTTCTTTACAATGTACTTTCTTCTCCTTGCAGTGAAAGCATGCAACAGTCGCATTGATGCCGACGTCTGGCGAGACATGAAAGAGGCCTCGGTGATAAATGACACTCCGCAGCAGCAACCGGGCAGTCGCAATTCAAGCAGTCATGACTTGGACGGTCATCGCAATGAGCCGATTGCAGTGGAAGATGGAGAAAGTTTAAAGGCAAAACTGGATGAGATTACCTTTCGAGACAGTTTCCTCGCCATGATCTTCATCATTCGCCACAATGACTGAAGAACTTGTGTGAACGATGTGTAGTGCTAGAACTTACCCAAATTTAGTCAACGGCAGTTTTTTTGTTAAAGCAAACACACCTGTTTGGTGGTGATCATGACAAGGTACAGTGTCACCTGACTTATACTTGTAGCAGAACTCGACCACTGGCACTGTCTGTTCATCGCCATCACCACCACCACCACTTAATCGTCTAATCTCAAGAGCATCAGCCAGTCAGTGTGTTGTACAAGTGTCTGTGTTTTGCCTCACCCCTGGTGTGCAATCCTTATAGTGATCCTAGTTTATCTATTTTTCTCTCTCTTTCATTCTCTGTTGGTTTAGATGATCACCTGTCATTCATTGTGTACATATCACCCTCTCACCAACTTTTTTTCTCTTTATCATCAAGTTCACCCAACCTCATTAGCAATGTTGTTGACACAACATAACATACCGTGGCCAGTATTCAATTGAACAGCTGCAATGAACTTTCCCTAGTAAAAAAATAAAATACTTCCTTTTTCTCACAATTCGCCTCATTCAAGATCACTTCGTATTATTTAATTTCACAAAACGGGAAAACTTTTTGCTTGTTGATGCAGTAAATCAACGCTGAGTCGTGGTGTGCACTGTTGAAAGAAACAGTAAAGCACCATGTAACCTAAATTGTCTAGATAATGATTATTATTTTTACTACTTAGGAAAAAACCAATTTTGAACAACACGACTTTTTTTTGTTAATAGCCAGTCTTGGGAGGTGACAGTTAAATAGTTGTGAAAAGTTGTGAAGATGATACAGCTACTTTTTTGTTTTTATATTCAATCTAACAGTAACTGAAACAGTTGTAGATTGTTTTATTCAGAACACGGCACCTAAATATGATGTTGACAGTCTGCGAAAGTTTGCAGAAAAGTGCCATTTACTGGACAAGAGACTTCTGGTTGAAACACACTGACAAGCGAGTGCTCGACCACTGGGCAACGAAGAATGGCCTTCTCAACTCACTCACCTTTATTGCCTTGTACTTCAGTCTGGTGCAGATTTTCTTGCCGCACTGGATGCAAAAAAGGCCCCCAATGTCACTTAAACCGGTGCTCATCGTCTACAACACCTTCATGGCTCTAGTCAATTTTGCCCTTTTTCTCTGGTTCTTGGTCCTCTCACGAGGTGGACGTGAGCTGTTCAATCTAGTTGCACCTTCCGAGAGTGACACCAGCGCCCAGCAGATGAGCATGATCCGCTTTACCGAATTGTTTCTTGTCACAAAGTTCCTCGATCTACTTGACACAGTGTTCATTGTGTTGCGAAAGAAAGGTGATCAAAAGAACTTTTTGCATTTGTACCACCATTCAATTGTTCCCATTGTGCTCTCTGTGTCTTTCATGCTGTATCCTACTGGCATGACTTCGGGCATCTTCGCCTTTGTCAACACCTTCACTCATTCGGTGATGTTTGCGGACTACGGCTGTGCTGCCATTGGACCCTCGATGAGGCCGTACCTCTGGTGGAAGAAGTACATCACTCAGTTGCAAATCATTCAGTTTTTCATCTTTATTTTCTTTGCCATTGCCTACGGCACTATCTCAACTGGCTACTCGATGGCCTACGTCTGGATTGGCATCAGTCAGTCGCCACTTTTTGCCTTTCTTTTTATTCGATTCTACCTTCAGTCTTATAAGCAAAACAATGTCCTTACTGAGGACAGACTTAAAGTTAAATAAAATTGCTTATTATATCTCAGTTTGAATTTGCGGTACATTTTTGCCTCAAATTTTATTGCGTTTGTTTCAAAGTCCACCGTTTCTCTGTCGGCAATAGTTTTATTGCCTCTAACAGACACATTGTTTGTAAACCAAAAATAGTTTATTATCTCATTTCAACTTTGAGACGCAGTCAAAAAACAGACTTATCCATCAAATTAGCCTAAAATACCAATATCAACCTGAACAAAAGGCGGATCACGATCAAAGGGACGGCCGTATAGAGCAACTGTTCCAAGCGGATACGACTTGGTGCCATTTCGTTCTCCGACGGTGACAATTAACTTTTGAGTTTTTGATTTAAACTGCTCGAAAGACCACATGTTGCCATCTCTCTTCATTACTTCACGCTGTGAACCGATGACACTGGGAAAGACGGTACTGTTGACGCTAAACTCACCGTACAGCTCTGCAAAGTGAAACTTGGATTTTAGGGGATCCGGCGACTGAATCAGTCCACAAGTGTCCACTCCGGCCCTCTTTGGGCAGTGAATCAGTGCGCAAAACTCCTCTTCAAAAGGAATTAAAAACGGCTTAGTTCGATTAGACGCCATCAGGAAGAACTCATCCTCAGCGACGAGTGAAGCCCGGTCCATTTGGTACTCGAGGTGACAGCAGACGCCGCCGTGGCAGTTCAGTGCGTGTTCATTGTGGGCGTCCAACTTGAGAAGGGACGTGCCGGTAATATTGAGACTCATGTAGAAGCTAGTCACCGGGTTCAGTGGATTGATGTTCGGCTGGATGTCTTTCACTTCTAGTGTGGTTGCATTCATGGGACATTTCTCTTTGGGAGTGGAAGCGTTGATGGGCAGAGTGGCCACTAGAAGACGGCTCTTTCCGTCAATCACGTCGATTACTTCAAACTGCTGCCGAGCGCCGTCGTAGATGCCGCTGCCTTTGCTGGCCAGCGGAGGAAAGTGAATGTTCGCTGCGAGGACGTTTACTTTGTGAACAAAAGACCAGGACATCTGAACTTGGGTACCTGATGCAGAAAAAGAGGTTAGTTGTAAACAGTCATTCTGTTCACCACTTACTTGACAGAAAAGGAGACTCGTCGAACCACCAGGTTGGAAAGACCAGCGTGTCAATCAGATGTTCGCTTGCCCACTTGTGCCCGGGCGTTTTGAAGATCATGTCAAAGCACACCTGCAGTCCTAGTCGGCCAATTTCAGTGTCGACCACCACCAGCTCCTCTGTAGGAGGCAAGTTCTTGGACATCTCTCCAAAGAGGTGTATCTTGTGGTACTTTGCCAGCAGGTGGCCCTCTCGATCAAAGAGAACGGCCGTGTTGAAGGCGTACAGATTGTCAGAGGGACATTTCACCTTGGAGCTGTTGTGACAGGGCTGCACATCGACCATGTCTGCACCGACAAACATTTGGTTCGTTTTGGCAATACACGATAGTCGGTTTAGGATGGGATGAGTCGAGGAAAAGTTAGATGAATTACAAATGGCCATCATCTTGGGATCAGGTAGTCTCTCTCCAAATTGAATGGCATCTTTTCGAGTGTTGTCATTGAGAATCCCGTCTTCCGGAAATACCACAATGTCGGCGCCCTAAAAAGAAGAGGATTTAAAACTGAAAAAAAATTAAAATGTTTTTTACATTTTGTTTGGCCAACTTGGCAGCAGACTCCAGAACATCCAAATTGAGTTTGATCGACTTTGCTTGTGAATCTCGCTCAACCTGGTGAACCAGCTCGACAACAGCTGCCCGAAAACAGCCATTTGAAGCAGAAGACACTGATCCAACAATGACCAGCGCAAAGCTGGCTAGCGTTATGTAAAGTTGATTCATTGTGCTCAGCGTTAAATAAGCAAATTACCTAACTCAAAGTTGCGTTATTGTCTATTATACTAAAATGTTATCGTTAATTGCTATACAATCAATCAATAATCACAAAGTTCCCATCAATTTTAAAAACACATGTGAAAGTTGGGGCAAAAATTGTACACCTGTGCAAAATTATTAATTTTTATTATTATAAGATTACATATAAAACTTGAGAGTGCACCAACTTTAAAGTGCATAAAAAAGTCATAAAATGCAAGTTTTCTTAAGTCCCCGAGTACCGCTAACAAACAACAGCGGTTTTTAATTATACAGATTGCGTTACGGTAGAAACCAGAAAAAGTAAACATTTTTAGTTTATTAAAACAAAACTGAAATGTCCAGCAAACCAGCTGGGATAAGACGTTGAAATGGAAATTTTTCTTGCCCACAACTGTCACAATTGTGTGTGTATATCAGGGAACAGCAGCAGCTGATTTGATAAGACAGTGATTTGATCAGAGCTCAATGCCACCAGTTGGTCGCTGCTCATAGGGAGGATCTCGAGAGTAGACGCGTCCGTACAGAGAAATCGTTGACACTGCGTGCGCCTTTTCGCTGCTGCTCTTGCTGCCGACCGAGAGTACAAACTTCTGCTTTGATTTTCCGGTAGACTTGTCTTCCTTGTACGACCAGAGGTCGGACTTGGGCAGCACCTTGTGCTCTGAGCCAATGACGCTGGGGTAGATGAGGGCGTCAGGGCTGAAGTCGCCGCTCATTTCCACAAAGGAGAAAGTCGTGCTCAGTGGGCGGTTGGAGGTCATCAGCGAGCAGGCCTTTAGGTTCTCCAGCTGGGGACAGTGGACCAGGACGCAAAATTCCTCAGTCCACGGATAGGCGCCGGGTCGAGTGCGGTTGGTGACGAGCAGGTAAAAGTCTTCCACTTTAGAAAAAATTTAGTTTTAAAGGAGAAACAAAAGCCCTAGCACTTACCGGTATCGGTGGACGGGGCGGCCACTTGGTAGTTCAGTGTACAGCAGACGCCTCGAGAGCACTTGGTGGCCAGCGACTTGGTCAGGTCCACCTTGAGCACCTCGGTCTGCGTCAGATTTATCGACTGGTAGCGGTACTGAATGTTGCTGGGAATGGGCACCAGCTGGGGCACTTCGTGGGTGACTGCATTCAGCGGACAGTGGGCGGCGGTAGAGGTGGGCTTCACAGGGAGGCTGGCCACCAACAGCCGAGACTTGGCGTCCACGGCGCTGACCACCTCGAACTGGCCCTGTCCGCCGGCGTAGATGCCGCTGCCCTTTGAGCCTACCTCAACCTTGTGAATGTTCGACGCGAGCAGGTTGATCTTGTTGCCAAAAGCCCAAGCCATTTGGAACTGGCTGGCGGCCAGGAGGGGCAGCTCATCGAACCACCAGGTGGGGAAGACCATGGTGTCAATCTGGCCTTGGGCGGCCAGGTAGACGCCCGGCTTGCTGTAAATCATGTCAAAGCACACCTGAAGACTAAGTCGGCCGATCTCCGTGTCTACTACGACCAGTTCATCTTCGAGTGGAACGTTGAGCGTCATCTCGCCAAAAGGGTGCATTTTGTGATACTTAGCAAGCAGGTGGCCATTGCGATCAAAGAGGACGGCAGTGTTGAAGGCGAATTTCTTATCCGAGGGACACTTTGATTTTGTGCTGCTGCTGCAGTTCTGGACATCAATCGTATTGGCGGCCACTAGAATTCGATTGGTCTTTGCCATGCAGGCAAGTCGGTGTATGATGGGCGTCTTGGTGGCGTACTCATCAGTGCACAGTGACACTCCTTTTTCATTTGGAATAAATTCGCCATGCTTTAGTACGTTCTCTCGAGTGCCAAGACCAAAGAGAATGCCATTTTCCGGAAAGACCACAATGTCAGCTGCCTGTGCATGATTTAGAACAAAAAAGGAAAACTGTTTAGCACAACCTTTTCTAAACCATCATACAAGATCCCTACGTTTTGCTTTGCCAGCTTGGCAGCACTTTCAAAGACTTGCAAGTTGAGCTCAATGTCGGTCTTTCGGGTCTCTTGACCAGCTTTAGTGTTCATTTGATGACGGTGGTCGAAGACGGCTGCTCTGTAGCAGGCCTGAGAGGACCGGTCCTTGCTGCAGGTCAGACAGGTCTCAGGTATGTAGAAGGCGAGTAGGCAGCCCAGGGTGACCAGCACTACGACGGCCAGGGTGCCCAGCAGCCAGGGTCGACTCAGGGCCATTGTTTGGTGGGGGAAGAAGCAGTTCTGGAGTTTTTCGTTTGTGGTAGACAACAGGTTAACCGGTGGATCCAGACAATGCTTAGCTCATTTATTTATAGAAGGAAGGCAATGTGCTGAGATAGTGTGCGGCAAACAGGTGAGCACGATAAGGAAGGTACAGATCGTAGAAAGTCACGCCACTAATGAGACAAAGAGAGACGCTGGTGAAGACACTGGCGCAGTGTGCTCTCGAGCTCTTTTACCAAAATGCTTCAGTGCAATGCGACTACACTGTAGAGACACACTTGACAACTACACTCTACACCAAACAACTCTGTTTACATGTGTATGTGCTTGCATTTTCTGTGCCTGGACACTCTTACTTACTGCTGGAAGACATTTATAGTACGAGAAAGGAGACTAATCGGACATTGAGATGATGGTGATGCAAACAGTGTCAACACATAATCGGACGCAATATTTGCCAACAGATCATCAACATCAGAAGAGAGAAAAGTCTGTCTTCGCTTTTGCTTGATAACAGATTGAAAATTATTGATAACAATTGAAAAGAGTGAACGCGACGTGACACTATTCGAATCAGCAGCAGCAAAAAGTGGCATCAACAAGGGCAAAGTACATGCGAAACTTATTATCGGAAACTTGGTATCTGAGATTACTGGTTGTCTCGTTTTATGAAGATAATGCCATGGCAACAGGTTTTAATGATCAGATTTGTATTTTGCGTTAACTAAGCAGAATGTAGAAATGTGGATTTGAAAAATGTAATTCAGAAATGCACTACGGCAACACAAGTTAAAGAGATTTTTGGTTATCAATGAGATTAATAAGGATAAATAGAGATCAATAGAGGGACACCTAATTAGGCGCTTCCTTGCTCGCAGAAACCCGTTTACGAGCTTCATCGGCTATGGTTTTGTAGACTTCCTTCACAGCAGGATCCAACTGGTTCCAACGACGTCCCAGCTCATTGGAAACTTCTGCCATGGTCAATTGTGGCATCACCTGGCGCACCTTATCACGTTCATCCTGGACAAAGTACATGTAGGAGTTGAGAGAGGTGCCGCCTTCTTTGGAAGAAGCCGCTTTCTTCCCAGTCAAACTCTTGTTCTTGTAGGAGTCCATCATTCCTTTGTAGCGAGCTTTATCTGTCGCCGACTTTTCTTCAAACGGTATCTTTTGTTCAGGCGAAAGCTCCTTCCACTTGGCGGCAAAGTGACGCGTCAGCTCTCGGAAACACTCTTGGTCAATTTTGGCGTCAGGATTGGCGGTACGAAACTCGGCCCAGCAGCTCTTGGTGAAGACAATGTAGGGGTTCATGTAGAAGCGTGGCTTATTCTTCTTCTTCTGGTTCGACAGACGAGGATTCTGCGAAGTTTGAGGAGGAATTGCATCACCGTTGTCATAAGTAAATTCGACTTTAGAGCTAAGCAAAAAGTGGCTTTCGTTGAGAGCATTGTCGTCAGCAGCATGGTGAGAAGCAGCCTGGCGAGCAGCAGCCTGGTAGTGCTGGTAATGGTGCTCATCATTCATCTCTACCGTGGATGCGATATAAATCCTGCCGCCGTTGGAGATAAGTCCACTATCCATAGGTGCAGTTTGGCAAGGAACGCGGCGAAGGAGGGCGGAAAGATAGCTGTTGTTGGCTTGAACGATTCGGATGCACTTGCAGGCGATTGACAGCAAAGATTGGCGGTAGAGCAGCGACAGCGCCGGTGGCGGTGGCGACATTACATCATTCAGCAAGAAAAGCACGTGTTATGAGTAAGCACTCGCTAAGACGGGCAAACGACGACTGATGCGGCGGCTGCTGCTGCAAATGCTCACTTTTCAAAGTCGTCAAACTCAAATTCGAATTTTCGCTCAAAAAACTTTCCTTTATAAAAACGTTTTATAATTTTCAAAAACTTTTTAACTATTTTGTGAAATAAATAAAATGCCTCCTTTTTGGATATCTGCGGCCGCCTTCCTTTGCCTGTCGTACCTGACCTACAACTACTTTCTAATCGACTACATGATGAAGTACTCTCAGCAGGCGGAGTTTGAGCGGAACTGCGTCCGCGTGGCTGTCTTTGAGAATGTGCCAATTGGAGTGTACAATGGCAGTATGAAGGCGCGAGAGATCATCAACAGCAATCTGGCAAAGTACGGCAAGGCGGTGGAGTTGGCGGCCAAAGAGGTAGGTTGACCAAAGAGTTCAGTGGGTATCACCCAATATACATTTTGCAGGACGTCAGACTGCTCGTCTTCCCCGAGGACAGTCTGCTCAACTCTGAACGCTTCTCCCGACAAGCGCTGATTGAGGACATTCTCGAGGAGATGCCCTCGCCGGAAAAGGGCGGCCGGCTGGTGAACCCCTGTCTGGAAATGAGTACCCGAGAGTCGGTGCTTCGGACGATGAGCTGCCTTGCCCGAGAGCACCAAATGTACCTTGCTTACAGCTTCGGCGACAAGGTGCCCTGCGCTGGACCCGGCTGTCCGCCGGACGGCCACTACCTCTACAACTCCATTGCCCTGCTCGACGACGGGGGGAACTTCGTGGCGAAGTACCACAAGATGCAGCTGTACTACGAGTTTCACTACAACATCCCCTCCGACTGCCCGGGCCACTTCAACCCGGTAGTTACCTATGATGCGCCCTTCGGTCGGCTGGGCTTCCTCGTTTGCTACGACCTGCTCTTCCACTCGCCCGGTGTGGAGCTGGTGGAGCAGTACCAAGTGGACACCATCATCTACGCCACCTACTGGTTCAACTATGTGCCCTTTGTAGGGGGCGTGCAGATGCAGCAGGCCTTCGCCATGCGCCACAAGGTCAACTTCCTCGCCTCGGACGTGCAGACGGACGAGGGCCCCAACTTGGGCCTGGGCATCTTCTCCGGCCGCCGGGGCGCCCTCGCCTACAGCAACAGTCCTGACGGCGACTCGAAGCTAGTCATCGCCACTATTCCGCAGAAGAGCGGCCATCCAAAGGCGGCAAAAACTTGCCCTGCCCACCCCAAAAAGGTGATCGTCTCGAGGTCGTCGGCAGGGTGGGCGAGCAAGGTGGCCAACTTCCAGCTGAACGTCTCCCTGGTGAAGGTCATCCCGCTGGACAGCGCCCTGGGCGAGGACTTCGTCGAGCACTGCTGTCCCTACTCGGGCATCTGCTGCAGTGTCTTCTACCACGCCAGCAATGTGCAGCAGTTTCGACGGGAGCACTTTGTGCTGCTCTTCGGCAACGTAACCAGCGGCGCCCTCGGCCAGGAGCGCTACCCCATTCGGCAGGAGTTCTGCGGAATGGCCGCCTGCGAGACAGCCAACTGCAGCCGCTTCGCCACCACCAGTCACACCCGCTTTCATTCAGTTGACCTGGTGGCCAAGCTGAAGAGCAAGTACGTGTACCCGGGCGTAGTGACCTCCAACCTGGGACTGCTGCCCACCTCAAAGTGGACGTACCGCACGGCGCAGGCGGGCGGCAAGAGCACCATCTCAGTGAGCAAGGCCAAGGAGCCACTGGTTGCGGTGACGCTGTACGGCCGGCTGTACGAGGAGGATCCGCCGTACAAGCACTGAACAGTGAGCTCACTCACTTCAGCAGTAGGCTTGCCTGTCCCTGCCTGCCTACTCCACTGCCAAACACCGGCACTCAGTGAACGCGTGCTCACACACAGGCGCTTTCTTTCTTGATTGTTTTCCTAGTTGCACCACGTGAGTTGTGGTTGCAGCTTTCTTGTTCTTGTTGTTGAATTGATCTACCTCAATTTTGAAGCAACACAATGACAACCACCAATAAACTGCCTGTCAATCATGAACTGATCAACACCAACTTTCAGTCTTACCGCTACAATCGTGATGTCCAGTGTACGGTGCTGGCCGGCCGCCTTCCAAGTGCCGGCTCCTCCAAAGTGCACACCTTCAAGCTAGGCAGCTCCGATTACAGCTACTGTCATGCGGCAATGTCATCGGGAATCAACAGTCTGTACAGTGATCGACATGATGCTAGCAAAGTGTATCTCATTTCAGAGGAAGGAGAAGTTCTGACCCCTGTGTTGTTGTCAACACAAACTGACAATCGGCAGTTAGACTTAAAGACGGTGTTTACAATTCCAGGTAAGTGTTTTAATTCTTGAAATAAAGTTACAATTATTAATTTGGTTGTTTCTAGATTTCAGCTCAAAGTCAATGAATGCATCGCTGTCATTTCCTTCCGAAAGCAAAGCCATTGTTTTATTGTCATCAAGGCAAAGTTTGCAGAAAGTAAACGTTCAAGTGCCGGGTGATCAACTTGTACCTTTAGAGAGAAATCACCATCAACTAAAGATGTTCATTTTGAAAAGGAACCCTGAACAAGTTTCTGAAACCTGGGATGTTGAATCTTTACTAGACATTCCTCGAAGCTGGTTATATTCTGACTTGAACATCATCGATTCATCGCATTCACATTTGTTTGACTCAACACTACCAGACAGCACAACTTTACGACTTGTCATCGGCTCAGTATATGAGTGCTTTCAACTTGATGCAGGTGCCAAGAATGACAAGAATAAGGTTAAATCTCGATTTGGAGCTATTTTTCATCAAATTCAGCTTCATTCGAGTCCACTTGATGAATCACCCAAGTGGGCAATTACCAAAAACAACAGATTTGTCGACGATGCTCGAACGTCCAATGATTTTCCAAAATATGCCTCTCTGGGGAACAATAACGACATTGTGTTTGTCAGCAACTTCAGAATGAAGTACAAAAGGATCGACTCTGCTTTACTTGGTAAATGTCTTGTTTTGATCTTTCTACTCTTTTGAACTAACGTTATACTTAATTATAGATTCTAAAGACACTAGCTCTACTGATGATGATGATGATGATGATGCCCTTTTAATTGCCGCCGAAGAGCTGAATAAAGAGCCGACAGTGGACGAGGACACATTGAGAGAAGTTGAACGATCAGAAAGAGAGGCGATCAAAGAGGCAAAATTCACCAAAGCGGTCTTTGATGAGTATGAGAGCTGTGACATGCAGGATAGCGCCAGCTCGCTGGTAATGACCAGTTTTGACCTCCACTCGGGCACTGTTCTGCAGGAGTACGACCTGAGCGCCCAACAGTGGCTTTTCTCGATGACCAACTACTCACCGGTGAACCGATTGCCCTTCTTCGTGACTCGTCACGACGTGGACGCCTTTATCTACGAGCCCCAATCGATCATGTCCACCAGTGATCAAACTGCCGCCGCTGACCAGCAAAAATGTTCACTGTCAGTGCAGCACATTGACTCATTTCCTGCCTTTGGCTACGTCTTCGCCTCCAAGCAGAACCGTCGCTTTGTGACGTTTTGCCAGAAAGTAAACAGTGGCTCGTCAAAGACGGTCTTTAAAAGCGCCGTCATTGATAACTGGGTAGACCAGCTGCTGTACGTCTACAGCAGGCCGATCGACCAGGCGTCGCCCACAACAGGGCAACAGTTTCTGTTTTACTTTAATCCTAATGAAGAGCCGAAATCGCAGCAGACAGAACGCACCGTCATCAGCGGGCTGTGTGCACTTCCCAGTTTGGTCAATGAATCCATTGACGGCAAAAGTGCTGCTGAACTACTCAACCAGGAAGGTGCCATTTACGTGCTGACGGAAGATACACTCTATCTGATTCAATTTTAATTGTCCTCTCCTTCTCACACTGGCACCAACTTGCCTTTATTTCAAGGTAAGACCTTGTAGTTGAACTTCAATCTCTGCTAACTACCTTAATAAATTATCATTAACTGTCATTTCTACCGCTAATTACCGTCAGCGGACTGAGTTATCAAGAAGCTTTCCATCCTTCAACAGGCGTCGGAAGCGACACTTGAAAGGCACTCGACACTGACGGAAATCAACGTGACCATCAGCTGGTGGTGATGTGCTGCTGCTGCGGCACTACCACTTCTCACTATGTCTCGCTGTTCAACTTTAACTTGCGAGCCTCGTGTGTGCTGGTGCATGCCACTTTCTGCACTTTCTCCCTTCATCTTTCCCTTCCCTCTGTCAATTGCCGCGCGCGTTGAGAAGATGTGAAGTATGTGTCTCGGATTGTGTGTGTGTCCGCTGTGGAAGCTAGTGATGCAAGGCGTAGGGCACATTTCATACACTACCACTCAATTCAATTGCCACTCACTAGTTTCAATGGGCTCCAAAGTGAAAAGTGAAACTACTCACCAGTAACGTGTTTGTGTGTGTGCAGAGGAGTCCGACTGTGTCACTCACTTTCTCTGTCTGTCTTGACTATCTGTCTATCTATCTATCCGTCTCTCGTTGTGTCGTCGATTGAGCACACAAACACACACACACAGGTTGGCGCCAGAAAGTGTTGTTTGTTTTTGTATTTTGACAGCAGTCAAAAGTGCCCCATTCGAACAGTGGCACCAACACTCCGCACACTTTCGGTGTCAGTCGACCATGAAGGACTACTGTTTGCCCGAATAGCAACTCTGCCACTGCTGCTGCTGCTGCTTCACCCAAACACCTACCATCCTGTTTCTCGTTGTTTTGTATACCTCTGTCCTACCTGTGGCAGGATTAACAGTCTGCAAAGATTAGCACTCAGACGGCAGCAATCTGCAGCAGCAGCAGTGGTTGTTGCTGCTTTCATTTGCGTACATGAAAATTTAAGCGATGCGCTCCATTGGCACGGCAATGCAATTCAGTCTAGCGCAGTTCAGTTTAGTCGCCTGAACGCCAGTCACTCTGATCAAATCCTTTGCTGTACCAGTTGATGAGTTCCAGCGTGAGGAGTATTGCCATCCATTTGAAGCCTTTTTCTCTCCTTCTCTCTCTAAAAAGCTATTAATGAGAGAATGTGGCAATTGGTGGACAGTGCCGCTGTCAGCGACATTTGAGCAAACAATTTGAACAGCCCGTGTCAATCAGCCAGTGACAAGAATCAGCACAAGTGCTGGTGAAAGAGGCACAGAGGTACACTGTACAGCACACTCTCCAGCAACCTAACAACCGTGAACGGTCACGCGAGAATTTACCTCCACGCAATGTGCAATGAGGAGTGGCCAGGAGTTGGCCACTGAAGTCACGCTGGAATTGTTGCATTATTCATATTTTTTTATTAATTATGATTACCTCTAGATAATTGCCCACTTGTGCCTATTTTAATATTTCAGTTTAGACTGAAACAGAACGAGGATTAGCTGGCAGAAGATGTCAGTCGCTTGACGTGCAATGATTGGCGGAAAAAGCTTCAGATTGTACAAAGTTGCAGATGACGCTGAGCAATGTGATTCAAGGGCAGGCGGTAATGTTAGTTAGAGAAATGGTTCATCCTTTTCACTTTCATCATATCTGCCCACTGTCGTCACTGATTTCTTTATCTTTCTATTCTTTTATCAGAGTTTCCTTATCTTTTTATACAAAGCAGGTATTTGACTTGGCAGCTTTTAGTGCTTATCAGAGAGTGAGGATCGATTCGAGCACGACAAACACTGCCTGATTGATTGTTGTCCGAATCGAATGTCCACAGAGAGACTATGCACACGTACCAGTGCATCAGCAGCAGCAGAGCGCATCGAATCTCTGCGCCAAAGGTACACTCTGCTGTTCACTGTCCCTTTTTCCTCTTTATTAGCATTAGCTCTTGTTTTTCTTTCCATGATGCAGTGATGCAGCATGACAGCTGCATCAGTGGTGGTGGTGCTGACAGCACTGCTGCCAACAATACCTGCTCCATTCGGAAAACACAAAACCGACAATAGAAGAGCAAACGAAAAAGAAAAAGAAATTGGAGATGGTGAAAAGAGCAAAGAGATTGGTCGCTTGTGCAAGTGCATCTTTGAGAATGATTGCCTCATCGAAGTGGCGACAGTGGACTTTTTTTCTCAGGTTGGCCTCTCACGGGATTCACTCCTTCTCCTTATCTTTGCATCTTTGTCGTGGACAGTTTTGACAAAGAGAAACTGAAAGAGATAGAGTTATTTAGTCATAGTTAGACTGTAGGTGCAGACACTCAGTGAACTCACTCGCTCACTCAATTCTATTCCAACTG